TCCTGCTGTTCTGAGTGATGAGTCTGTGCTTTTTATAACCTTCCATTCCATACTGAGTTTGTAAGTTGGAGCTCCCCACTCTCAGCTTCCACACTTCTTTTTTTCAACTGAGCTGTAACTATAGGAGCTGGTCCAGAGTTAGAAAATAAAGCCTCATATAGCTACATTGTAACAAAATGTTTTGTGTAATCAAAATGATGAAACTGATGGAGGATTCAGTAAAATGACATATTTGATATAATACATGTAGTCATTGTATAAATAGGTTGCAGTGCAGGACGGGTGCTAACAACACTGCAAAGAGAGTCTTGTTTTCTGGGTCAGGGAGAGTCATTTGAATAGTCATTGACTGCACCTGGACACACACACAAACACACACCATAAATACACATCCACTGACACACACTGAATAAATGACCTCCAGTTGGAAGGTTACCATGGCGACTAATCCAGGTAAGGATGATGCGAGCAGGACATCTGCTCGGACCACCTTCATTCACCCCCACTGATCTCTGCACTGACACACAGGCAGCTGGATTTACCTTCAAGAAACAAAGAGAGAGAAAATGTGGATTATTAGTAATTTTCTTTGCTTGTATCTACGACTGGTGAAGACAAACACACACACACACACACACACACACACACACACACACACACACACACACTGCAGTTTGCAAGGGATGTTCTGGATAACAGGGTAATCACCTAAAAGGGAAATTTGAGTGTTTAAGTGCGAAATTTACAACACAGGATGCAACATCTTCTGAGCTCTCAATCTTTTACCAGTAACACTCACATAAGAAAGTCAGAGAGCAAAGGAAAAAGAGTTTGGCCAACCAGGAGTGAGAGCAGGCCTCTGCCATTTGCATGAGTCTTCATTATCAGTAACTGTCAGAGGAAACAGTACATAGCCTATGGGCATCACAGACACACACAGACACACACACACACACACACCCTCTGGGAAACACTTGCTCCACCATTTACAGCGAACAGTTTGACAGACACCACAAATGTAATCATCTTCCCTGCTGTACAGAGTGCGATCTTAATGATGCTGATACAGTACGGCCCTGCACAGCAGATCTCAGATAGGGTCACAGCTGGGGCACATGGGAAGAGGCGAGGTTTGTGGTTTCCTGGTAATCAAGTTGAGACAAGTTTTATTTAAACATTAGCATTTTTTTAATCATACGTCCCCCTCTGTCGGTGCTCCTCTCCTTTCTAAAACTTTTTACACAACGGATGAAAAATGGAGAAGAGTCAAGAATAGCACCAGAAGAGGATGGAACACTCTTCGGGGATAAACACACAACCAAAAGATAGAGCGGTAAAATTATAATATGATGAAATTGAATGATGACATAAAGTAAATAGAAAATTACATAAAGAGTTTCTGATGTATAATATAAGCTTTAAAACACTCACCAATATATTTTATATATCGTTATGCTATGTCTCATGTTGCATTGAAAAGCCTACACTAGCATTCAATTTGGGTTTTCCCTCCTGTTCCATGTGTTTCAAATATGGCTCGATGATTCAGACTGTTTCCTGAAACAAATGTCCTCATTCAGAACCTTCTGTCACTGACACAGGGAAGAAAAGCAGGTGGTTAAGCCTCCACGACGAATCCTAAACAAATAATGTTGCTTCTGGAGCTGCATGGTAAGGGAGGGTGTAGCAGCAGCAGCAGGACCAGTTGGGACAGTCAGTTCAAATTTGAGCGAGGTAACCAGGATACTAAGGAGTGTGAGTTTTCATCTCCTCTGGCTTTAAACAAATATTGACTAGAGCTTCAAGCAGAGGCAAATAGGCTCTCAGGTAAAGAGAGACATGCAGTACTGGCTTTGTCATAATGCCTTTTGTGAGGTGATGATGCCTACAGGAGATGTTTTATTGAAATAAAAAAAGAGTGGAGGGAACATGAAGGGCAGCTCGACCATGATCTATCTCACTGGCAGGTGGACATGCTTCACTGTGGGGCAACATATTTATCTCACTTCTTTTTTTTATCAGTTTCAAAAAGATCAAAATACCATGGAGGCACCATTCAAAAATACTTTTAATTGCATAGTTTAATGTGTTTGATTTTCAGCCAAAAAACGAGAAGTCAAAAGTAAAAGCAGCAACTCCTCTTATTTCGATGAAGTGTAGAGACAGATTTCAATTTCAAAGGAAGATGGTTTGAACCAAGTCTTTGGTGGATATCTCATTTTTTTCCTCATTTAATTAATTAAAAACATTGTGAAAATGTCAAAACAAATTCAAATAGGTAGGTTTATTTTAGTAAGGTAAGATTACATAAACCCTCATCAGTTGTTGGATAAAAAGAAAGACATCAGTGTTAATTCAGATAAGGAACTTAAAGGCATATGATCTTTAACATAAGAAACAATGAAAGTCATGAATGGTAAAAGCGCAATGTCTGAATACTACATCTTATAGCATCCAGATGACAGATGGCCCATATCAGATATCTGCTGTGTGTGAGTGCTTAATGTTTAGTTAATGATTAACATAACCTCCCATTAAGCCCATCTCTCTGCTCCCCGGTGCTCGCCTACAGCCTCAGTTCATGACGTAGGAGATGGACAGTAATGAATAGGCCCCCAGTGGAAAATACACACTCTCATCATGAATGTGCCAATGGGAAAATGATTAGCAAAAATAAAGCTCCACAGGGAGATGCAGATTATCACCCATATACCATTGTAAATGTCAGTCTCCTCAGCAGGCTGCCTACGATATGACATCGTCCAGGTGCAGTTCAAATAGGCACATAAATCTAAACAGAGATAGACCTTCACTTGGACACTTTCCCAACGACAGTTACAAGTTTATCAGTGGTGATGGTATCATGGGTGAGCTGAGCAGACAGGTTTTTCACAAACATATGGTTTCATGTTTGACTGGCTCACTTTATACGTTTTCACTAAAAACAAGAAAATACATGTTGGATTGAGGCTGAAACTTCCTGCCTTGATAACATCTCTGAATTCAACTGCTTTGCTCTTTTTACTTTAATCCACAAGCAAAACATAATCTGCTCAAATGAGTATTTTTAATCAAGTTTTAATGGTCTTTCTTTTCCTGCAGGTGAATGATTGTGACTCCACAAGTCAGGTAACATGTGGGTCAGAGGCTGCCATGTCTTTCTATGGAGCATTGCGTGAAGCCACCTGTATGCAAATAAGGTCACCTCAGTGAAATGTTCCACACACCTGGAGCAGCATACTGACACTATTGACGCTGTTGTTGAGCTGTCTAATATGGAGCAGACTTCACTGCGCCTGTGCTTTCTTCGAAATGTATTGTATTTGATTTTCATAAAAAGAATTTGGATCACTGATGTTGGCTGCAACATCTGGCCTCACCTTGCAGACGCCTTTCATTTGAATACACTAAATACCAGTGAGAACAAAGCCCTTGAAACTTTCTTTTCTCATCCTTTGTATAGATTAAGGCTTCAAAGTGCTTTAAGGGCAGCGATCGTCACCCATGACCAAAACCATCTTTGCGCTTTTTTCCAGTTGCCAACCCGTACCTGCGTAACGCGAGCCGAACGAACAAAACTTCATCTTCAGGTATTGTACGTGAGGCTCAACGTGAAGCAAATACGGACATGAAAAAAAAGTCACAGAGGCGACCACGGTGAGACAACGCTCCTGGAGACAGAGAGGGAGGGAGAAAGGTGCCCGAGCGCGTAACAGCTGGTTTCTCCGGGTGGTGTCAGGAAACCTTTGGGAGGAAGATTCAGAAAAGTTAGAACAACAAGTCAAAGTAAAGACAGCGACTCTGAAGCCAATGAAGTGAAACGTATTTAACTTACCTTGAGAAGATACAAAGAAACAAAAGGTCAACGTGCGCAACTTTAGTCAGGTTTGGCTCAGCTTTTACGCGCACTGAATGTGTGCTTTGTGTGACAGGTATACACCTTTTATACCTCTACATGCTCCCTCTCTCTCTCTCTCTCTCCACCCCTCCTGCATGAAAAAAAAGGGGGG